GAGGTCCAAATAGAGTATGATTGTCATTCTTGTAAAAAGCGAGACTCTGCAGGTTGCCCACGATGTTGATGTAACTGAATGCAAATGTCGTTTCGAGTAGCCAAACAACCGCTTTAATCAAATCAAACAACGTCTGAAGATATCCTTTCTGTACCGTAAATATAACATTTTGCGCCTAAAAGGTTGACTGAGCCTCGGACGTGCAGTAAAAAAAATACGGTACTAAAGGAATCTCCATAAAGGAATGATATGAGAAGGAACGACTATTACTTAACATAAAGGAAAAAACATTACTACAGTTGCAAACTTTCTTTTCCTGCATGAACTTTAGTCACAATGAAGGGAACCTTCATACCCATACTGAACGCTTATTGCATAGGAAGCGAATATAGTTTACGTTTGCAAAAAATTCACGAAATACTGAATGGAATAATGCAAACTAAATTTTATGTAAATTATTTTATTTTGTTCTTTATTCACCTCCGCTAGTTCCTTCTGACCTTTTCTCAGTGATATTCGAGCCATATCACCAGGGGCCATATGCCAGTCGAAATGTCCGTATCGATTGCTCGAATCGATATGCATCGAGAAGGCGAACTAACAGTACCTGAGCATGTATGTAGGTAAGTCGCAAACGGGATAACAACGAATAAACTTTTCAATTAAAAGCATCTTTTATCAGGAACTGATGTTTCGGGCCAAACTCGGCCCGTCTTCAGAGCAACTACGATTGTTCAATGAGTATTAATCTGACAGATCGACATTCACCCGCGGAGGACGGGTGGTGCAGCTACCGATGCACTACAGGCAATAACATTTGCCAAGCATCGAACCCTGTCGTCGTTCACCCCGTCAGCGGAAAATGTGCTGGCACTTCTCATAGGTGTTATGAATAGGGCCTGACCTATGTCCACAGTGACCACTAGCCGGGCATCACCGACTCTTGCAGCCGGCAGTACTTGTCGAACAGTTCGCCAACAGTCTTTCCCATTACTATGGGGAAATGTAACAAGGGCAGTAAAATAAGAGCATCGCACTACTGAACCAAAAAATAATTGGATGGCAAACAGGACCGCACAGCTGTTCAGCGCTTTGAGTGCAAAATTTTGAAACGGGCGTGTTAAATCCCGAAGACATATATTGAGACTGTTGGAGCTTTTAGCTAGTCGTTATTGCCTCTGACAGCTTTAGCTGTTTACGTGTGTGGTGTTTGAAGTAAGTATATTTTGTGTGCACTTGACTTTCACTGGTCCTCCGAGACTCGTTGACGTACAGTTGCAGCAGACGAGGTGACCGAAGATCTAAGCAAGGCCATTTGGTTAAATCATGCACTATGATATTTGCACAGCCGCAGTTTCATTCAGGTCGGGCTGACGCAGGTGATTAATGTTGCCCATCCTGACGACTGTTTGATGTTTTCGGTCCATTAGTCGCTGACTCTGAGGCAAGGTCACAACTGACATAGCGGGTCGCGAGGATTAGTAACGCATTTTTGATTTTGCGGGTGAAATACTGCTCTTTCTATAAGAAATCTTCTATCTTATCCCAAGATATGGTATGCTAATGAATTATACCATATTCCAGTGAATTTTCTGACATTTTAGTCTTTTAATAGCTTTTGGATCTTTTGTTTGTTTCCTTCGTCTGCATTCTTGATTTTACCTTTCTATGTCGCATCCGCGTTGTTCCACTTGATGAATTATTTTTTATGATCAGTGTTTCTTTGCCCGTTTCACCGATGTACGCTGAATCACATACGCAGGGAAGCGTGTACACTCAGCCTTGTTTCCAGTTTCCTGGTCTTCAGGTGGCAGAAATGGATGCGAAGCGTCCTGTCGGGTTTAAACGTACTGTTCAGTCTGGCTTTTTAGCATACTTTTCTAGTCCGAATTTATAATTGTCTGGAAAGCTGATGTAACTCGTTCCGTCCCGAGAGTAGCGAGGGGTAGGTTTTCCCGATTGGTTTGCCAAGTGTTTAATCAGTGACTTCACTGGGTAATTGTTTTCTTGCCCTAATCAGATTAAGTTCATTGCGGAAATCATTTTCTGTGGCGTCCATCATCCGTCGTTCTCCAGAATAGTCAGAAAAGCAATGCAGATACCG